GCACAAATTTACCTGAACATATATATATATATATATATACGTACATACGTATATACAACTTTTATATCACATATATATGCACGTAATGTTGTGTTATTATCAAAAGAGAATAACACTAGTTTTTTTTACTATATTCTGCACTGCCTCCTTCAGAGTCCTTCAGATATATGCTTTCGAATCACTTTTTTGAAGCGCTTTACAGCAGAACTTACGCCACTTGTTGCCTATGGCTACCAGATCTGGCTTACCCTTCCGCCACGGAATGCTTCTCAATTCGACTCATCATAGAAGCTGGTTTACATAACTGTGGCTTCTATGCTTTCATACCAACCTCCTAAACCCAAAAGTCCTCCACTACGACTGTCATGCAAGTTTCGCGCCAATTTCCTCCCATCAAGTGGTTTGTTTTGGAGGATGAAGGAACGCTCTGAGCTCGAAGGCCGACAATTTATCCTCAACTATGTGCAATCTACCCTAAAGCCCTTAATCGTCTTGCTTTTCCTACCACAATCAGGTTGACTAGGGATATCTAGGCTCTTATTTTGTTTTTTGCCTTCAATATTCAAATTTCAAAACGGCATTAATATCTATTGAATTATCTACGGAATAGATTAATAGTCATACGTTGTAACTGTTACGCTAGCTCCCTCAATATCTCTGATATGCGCTTATTTAGCGTTAATTCAATTCAACCAATTTTGTATATGTTCATTGTCCATTCACTTCGTTTAAATGAGCAATTGTGTGGATTTATCCAATACTTGAATCGTTTTATGTGATCTTGGAATTTGAATGACTGAATAAATGAATGAAATGATATACTTTGTTTTGGTATTATTCTTGAAAAACCCAAGTATTAAGTTAGGCAGCGAAGATTACCAATAATCCATAATATCCCTGAAGTCAGTGAGTGTGCCTTATTCGTTGGGAGGGGCATATCAGAAAGCTGCATGCAGAATTTGATCTTTTTTTCTCCACTACCCATACTTCTTATTCAACTTTGAAGTTGTGTAACTAATGGCAACATAAATCCTACTCTCCTCAGAAAGAAATCATTGTAAAAAGGCGTAAAAATAACGAGGAAACTTTGAATTTGGAAAGTTGTCAACTGAATATGGCTTTTTACTTGGTACATTGTAAATATTGTGAAGAGGGTCAAGAGAATTTATTAGCGCTAGGTAAAGTTGATAAGAAATACAATCCTGAAACCGCGATCATGTAGGTTCTAAAAGGGGATAAGCAACATTGGTCGACCGTCCAACTTATAGCATTTTGGCCAGCTTCGTAAATTGGGGTGCTAAAAAATTTTTTTCCATAGCCTGGTATCACGTCTAATGAGAAATTTTACGATAAAGGGTGAGGTGGTTGAATCAGGAATAAACGAAGTAAGTAAAGTATATGGCTAATAACAGGCACAAGTTAGTTTGGTCGCTGTCTCAGCATTAATATGGTGAAATTAGACGAATACTTTGATAATAGAATGCAATTAGTTGGGGTAATGGTATTTTTAGACAATTATATGCAATGTCCTGGAGATAAAAATGGGTAGAATCAGGAAACTCTGACCTGCACTTCGTCACCGATAGCAAGGACTAGAATTTTATTTGTCTAGACGTTTTGTCATATTGTGTTTCGTAATTAATTTAAAAGAAATCGTTTTTATGGTAACCGTCCTTTTTGTTCCGGAGCAATCGATAGGTCCATTATCATCGTCGTATTCCAGTTTAGGCTGGTTTCTTACTGAAATCATAGCAATTCTGACCACGATGAATACAAGTGCTTGATTTAAAAAAAATTGAATTGAATTTTACCTTTTTCCCTAAAAAGCCGTTTTTATCCGGGCTAGGCTGCTGTTACGACCTTGTGTAGGTCTCGTCAGTTCACCATGGGCAGATTAGCACTAGTCCAATTAGAAACCACATGAAGCTCGGGTACGTTGATAATACTGTCTGCTTTTTTGACTGACCTCGTTATAACATGAACCCGTTGAGCGCGAAGAGGCGGCTTAGTTTACCTTGTGATTTGTATAAGATATATGCATACAATTAGAACAAGAGCAACCTATAGCTCATTTTATGCAGTTGTGCCTGACGAAAAACGGTTTATGAACATGTAACTTGTCCAACATAGGAATGGGGAATAGAAGATAAAGTAAAAATACTTGCTTAGCATCATCCGAATTTAACATGTCAATAAGAGCATTAGCCCACACTTACTAGCTCAATCCGCGTCAACATATAGTCATAAGTTAGGAGCCAGTTAATCTCCTTGACAAGGTAATTTTATGAGGCCAATTTACATGTGGCCTTCCGTGACGACGTCAGCTCTCTGGTATAAACTAATGTAGAGTTGTAGCACTTCCATAGTATCCTCTTGCGTTTAAATATGGCCTATTTATGAATCATTAGCGCTCGGGTTTTACACTCGAAATGAAGGACTCAAATACATTAGCTACTTAAAGGATGCTTTAAAACCAATTTATCAACAAAATCGGCCGACCTATCTAGAGCACTCGTTCATTGGGCTCTTTATATCGATCGGAGTCTCTACTTTAAACAACCTTGTCTGGCAGTGCCTACGTTTTATCCGCTCTTTCTTGGGAAGCACGCTCTACGTATGGGAAATCTACGGATCATAACCTAAACCACTTTTTGCATGAGATTAATCTTTACTACTTTCACTTCAAATGGGAAAGTGCCTCTCGAAACCTCAATATAATGGAAAAGTTTATGAATCTTTCTCTAAACTGTACAGTCCCAAAAGAAAACCTAAGTTCATCAGTAGGAAGCTTTTCCCAAATATTGAGTCCAGAAGTAGCCACGGTCAAGGGGATAATGCCCTTAATAATGGAAATATATTTTCTTCCTTGTCAGGACAAGACGCTTCCGCAAAGAGCAATTTCCTTTCATCACACTTAACTGATGAAACCACTACATCGTGTGTAATAAATGAACCTTCAACGAGATCAAACATTGTAGAAAAAAACAGTTCATCCGGAAAATCCAGTTCATCTCGTTATTTTCCCGTGGGTAAGATAAAATTGTCGCTTGACTCTTGTAAATCAACGTCAAAACTGCCGACTTCACTGAGCTCAAGTCCGGACTCGTTTAGCTCAACAGATGCTACAAATTGTGAAATTAACGTTCCTCCACAGACATATAGTGGGGCTATTTTGGAATCAACAGAACAGAACGAAACCGATAATGGGTTTAGAAAGATGGTTAATGCCGGAGGAGATACCGAGGTAACTGAAAGCAAACTGTGCACAACTGATGAGTCATGGAAATTAGAGCCAGACAATCGGCGCCCGGAAGTCTTGCTTAGCAATACCTTAATCAAGTCGCCACGTGTGATAGTAGAGAAACCACCAACTCCGCCAACTCGAGGTGGCGATCTTCGGCGTAGCAATAGTTTGCTTTTGCGCAACTTCCGACAACTTCAGCCAGTCTCGCAGACTACCAACTCGGCATCATTCACTCCGTTGCTGTCGAAAGGGACATCATCCCCAATGCCTGTCCGTAGCACCATGACTCCCGGACAGTCCTATATCCCTGTTTCTCGGATGTCCCCTAATCCCTCGCCTCGGATGAGCCGCACCATGCGAACAAACACGCCAGTCTCCG